CAAAGTCTGCATAGGAACATGAACTTTTCTAACATTTAGTGGTTTGTGGAAAGATCTACTTTCATTTCCCACCGCTAGCCTTCACTTCAGAGTAGGAATCTCTTCATTTGTCCATAGGAGCTAGTAGCGTTGAGAATGATACCAAAATGAAAACTCAAAAACTACCTACCACCTCCCACCAGCCATCCTTCGGTAGTCGAGCCAGCAGCATTGGACGAAAATTCGCCCCTAATGGGGATTCTGCACTAGCTGAAGGAGCTGCTACTTCACTGAGATCTCGAGCCGCATTCCATCGATTGACGGCTTCTGGGCCCAGCCATGACAGAATCACATTCGTCGCGACACCGATCGTTGACTAAGCGGAAAATTTTTGAGCACATATGAAAGGAATCTTTCCAACTTGAAGCTTTCAATTTCAATACAATAAATATGCAGACCTCGACGTTTTTGATCATCACGTTGAACAACCAGAACAACTCCTCCTGGGAACAGTTCTTGAATAGGTACTGGAGGTCATCCGAACCTGAAAGACCAGTTTCTAGGTTGACACAGCTCCTCAATGATGTAAGGTGAGTGCTTTGTATCCTTGTATCCTCTAAATTCATCGACAGAGCAAGGCCGGCATTTGAAGATGGCAGGATTGATTAGAAAAGGTTAAAGGCAGTTGGCACGATAAATCCCTAAGACGAGTAGGATTAATACGCCTGGCAGGACGGAATTCCGCGACCCTGAGCAGGCGCTGCGTAGCGCCTTTTCCAAGGAAGGTACCCTTATAAGGCCCTATCAAGCTACAACATACCGACCCGAACGCCCACCGCGCCCGCCCGCCCACAAATGGACGACCGTTACCTGACGCTCGTATTGCTTCATTTGCTAAGCAAATTATGAAGCGAAGGGATTGATATGAAGCGGCCGTGGTGCTGCATGGATATATGAGTACATACGTGCAGCCGTACCTACCGTAGCGGTTACTGGCAAGATGCCTACGGGAAACTCGTCCAAAACTGCTTTTCGAGTCATTGAGAAGCAAGGCTTTTCTTCGCAGGTTTTTGACCGTTTCACTTCGTTTTTTCGCCATTTTCCCACTATATAGCGCCCTGCTAGCATTTCAACCTGAGTACCAATTATCGTGCCAACTGCCTTTTTAGACTGCGTCTGCCGTCAGCGGTTTTGAGAACCCCTTTTTGTTGAGTGATTTCATCTGACCTTCCCCATTACCGTGGAGGGAAACTTCAAATATCCGATGAATCCAAGTCGCTTTCCTGAAAGGGCGTGACTATCCGTTTGCACCATCCCTAGCCAGAACTTGAATCGAAGACTGCATACTAAAAAATGGCAGTAGTACACCCCAGCGGGGACGGTGTAACTGAATAATCCTCTACAAAGTGGAGGGGAAGGCATGTGTGGGTCGCTAAGGAACGAGGCTCGCATTTGCTTCTTTGGAGGATCTGCATCTATGTGAAAGTGAGAGGAAATTCGGTAGGGAGATTCCATGGTTTTTAATATAGGGTACCCCAGAAGAAATTTTTACGAGAGCTTGGAGCAAAGGGAGGTATGGGGCCAGTGGGGAGGGGACATAGCGACGGTTTGTCCTGTGGCTAAAGAGCCTACTGCCATGTCATACACTGAGGCATGTTGAATGACTTCGCATACCTCACCGGAAAGCCGTCGATTAAGGGTAATATTGAAGTTGCACAGCACCGAAAAGATGACGTTGAAGCCATATTTGAAGGTTGAGTCTCTCAGTTCACCAGTGAGGAGAATTCGGGGAGCGGGGGAACTCTTATTTGGGTTCCGCTTAGAAGCGGTTCTCGCGTTGTGGGAAGTCACAGCCGTAAGAGATGAGGTACTGAGGCCTACTCATGAACAAAGAGACATAGTCCACGCTGACTGTATGGCGGCGACAGCCAACCCCTGCACATTTTCCACTGGCGCGGCGTTCCTTTTGTCGTCCCATGATAGGTGCATCAGCGAGAATACACAAATGGTCGACCATCTCCGCCCATCTGGTCAGCGTGGACTTCAAGTCAGTTCTGCGACCTCTTCTGCCAACTGCGCAGCCTCTTTAGCGCGTACAGTTCATATCGTTGCAATCCGGCGGGGCGGTGTCAGGAGGCGGAGAATGAGCCTACCCGCGGTGTTCGCCACAGTGGACCGGTCACTACTGGTAGAAAACGCAGCTGTGAGCGGGCATATTTCACGCCTCTTGACACCGCCCCGCCGAATTTCGACGATATGGACTACACCTCATGGACATCAGGAAAACCACTGTGGCGACCACTATATTTCAACCACTGATAAAGGATGATTGAAGTAACCACTTGAAAGATGCACCTGAGAAATCACTCATATTATCCAGCCTTTCATTGATCTCAGCAATCGACAGATGTTCAAAATCATCAGGAGCGATCCGCGATGAAACTTCTGATGCCAACTTTTCACATACTCTGGTGGCATTCTGAATAGCGTGTAGATGACCAAGGAATCTTCGACAACAGCCTCCTCATTCCCAACTAACCGGAACATTAGTCTTGAATATATCAGTTGATGATACGGCAAGCGCTTTGCAAACTCGATCAACGAGCTTCTTCTGTAAGCAGAAATGGTATATGATCTCCATATAAGGTCACCAGAACTACAAAAATGAAGAGTTCCTATAGACCCAGAATGTACCTCTTTAATGTTCAAGCTTCTAGAGTCCTTTGTGCTCAGAAGGAGTCGAAGTATCTGAACAAAAGACGATAATAATAAGCAAAATAAGATGATATCTGGAGTATGATTCGTTAATACTGCTGTGCCTCTCGAGGTTTTCAGGTGGAATATTTATTTAGCGGCCTAACGTTTCGACGTGGTCGTCTTCTTCAGAGGCCAGGGTTCCACCGCAAATCCGCCGTCACATGCGATACTTGGGTCAGTTCGCTACTGACTAACATCCGCATGTGACGGCGGATTTGCGGTGGAACCCTGGCCTCTGAAGAAGACGACCACGTCGAAACGTTAGGCCGCTAAATAAATATTCCACCTGAAAACCTCGAGAGGCACAGCAGTATTAACGAATCATACAACAATGCCGAGGTTACAGCAAGAGAGAAGCTGGAGAATATCTGGAGTGTTTGGAAGAATTACTAATGAGCGGTACACGTAAGACCAGGCGGGAGTTAGCTGCTACTCCTATGCTAAATTGGTATGCGGTCAAAGAGTCAACATATGTATCGCGCACGCGCATGGATCTTGTATTTAAAGGGCCTACGTTCACAGTTTGCATTGAGGACGAGATCCCCGCGGATCGCGCCAAATCTCCCAAACTCCCAGATCGCTACGCGACGGTCCGGCGGATGCGGATTGTCCATGATCGCTAGCTCTGATCGCCGAACACACCACCAACCTTCGTGACAGCAGCGGTCGGTCGCGGCGACCTCGGCGATCGCGGCGATTGCCAGCGATCGTCGATACGCGTCAGAGCGCGCCCAAACGCCATTATTTGGACCGCTCCCAGGGCTGCTAGGGAAAATCGGCTTGATTTCCTGCTTTTTTTCTTTTAGTTGCAATTGTCCGGTACGAAAGCTTGTTTTGACTCAAGGAAAGGTGGACCAACTTGATGGCTTTTCTTTTCTATTCTCTTTTTTGATTCAGGATAGAAATGAGCAAAAAGCGTGGAGCTTCATTTAGGGTAAGTTTCTTAGTGTTTTTTTTCATTCTTCGAGCTTATACATGAATTTATAAAGTTTCCTCCTCCTTGATGTTGCATAAAACATTAGTGTTTCGATTCCTAGGTGGGTTTCATTCTATTTCTTTTTTCGTTGTTTGAATTCGACTTGTAAACTATAAATTGTTTTGGAACAGTTAAGCCAATAGGAAATTTTAAGACACTCATATAAAATGAAACAATGAAAACAAAGAAACAAAAAGAAACTCACCTATTAAATGAAGTTGCCCTTATTCCGACCTCAAAAAAGGTGAAACCCCCTTCCTCATATTCCAGATCCTCTTAAGTAGAGAAAGTTTCTAGTTAGTAGCCATTATTAAGAGAAAAAGGTCTCACAAGTTGGATTTCCTTATTTATCAGAGAGCGGTCCAAGTAATAGCGTTGGGGCGCGCTCTGTTGCGTACCGACGATCGCCGCGATCGCCGCTGCTGTCGCGAAGTATGAACGCTGCTCTAGCACGCAGTCGCCCGAAACGCCCAGTCTCCCACATCGCCGGATCGCCGGGTCGATACCTATACTTCCGTCGTCGCGAAATCTTTCGAATCGTCGAATTTCCTAATCTCGGGAAGTATGAACGCAGCCTCACCGACCAACTCGATTCATAGCAGAGGCAACACATGAAGCTTTTTTCCAGAGATGTATTTGCATAGTTCTGTATATTTTTCATAGTGAGTAGGCTCTTACCGGATGAATAGCCGTTTCAACATCTTCGTCATTTCCAGATTTACTTCGACAATTCTCCAGAAACTTTTCAAACGTCTTTTTGCGAATAACTGAAGCGTTAGCGCCTTTGGCATCGCGAAGTTTTGACAGCATCACGCACAGGTCCGTGAACTTCACAGATTCCGTCAACATTGCTGAAAAGAGAAGTCAATAAAAATCTGAATTGACACACTCCATTACGAACAAGTGATCGGCTTCCGGCTCATACAAAGCTCCTTACTCTGTAACTTATTCCAAGTGCTACTTAGTACTGACAGTTTGTACATTCGGTGGGGTAAGGAGGAAAAGAAAATTTTTCACATGAGTGGAAAAAGCTCACCCGGTTTTCGAGATTTAAAGTAGATCCTTAGAAACCATGAAGCTCACTCTCCCCATTAATATGCAGAAGTTGGGCAAAGCTAGTGCGCGAGAATAATCTCCAACGCTGTTCGGCTTGGGAGGGGCATTTTGCACTCCCGCTAGCTCCTTTTGCAAGTTCATGTTTACTCACAGGTATCATTTTCGTGAGACCCGTGAACTCTTGTAAAGTTGCGGAATGGTACGAGATGGCAGTATGTACTGCCCCAATCATCCAAAATCAGGCCAGTTTTTGACCGACTTTTTCTCCGCGGGCAGAATTGGCTAAAAATTTGTTACTGAGGGTAGTTTGACCTCCTGAACACGAATATCACGTCCGCTCGGTCCGAAAACTCCTGGCGCTCACGCCACAGGTGCCGGCGCCACAATACACCAAATCACCGGCGCCTGTGGAGATTTCTGGCCAAGCGGATGCGATATTCGTGTTCAGGAGGTCAAACTACCCCAGGAGACAACATTTGAGCCAAGTCTGTCCACGGAGAAAAAGTCGGTCAAAACTGGCTCGATTCCGGATTACAGTGGCATTAAAAGGTAAATGGTGCCCCAGTGAGCAATTGGTTACGAGAAGTTACACGTTTCACGAGGTGGTTTATACGAGCTTCGCTGCGTACCCTTGGATGTACTCTTAGCGCCCCCACCAAGTTGAACCATGCCGCCTCCACTCACACGGTCACCATGCACCGAACGCCAGTGATCAACAGGTGTATGAGGGAGTGCGGGAGATCCACGTTGCCGAAATGTGAAATCCTGTGTTACTAGCTCGTTGATTCGATTGCAGTACTTGCTAAATCCATCGCATTATTCTGCAAACATTGCGCAGATGATACCAGTTGTAAAACCGCATTGCCCGTCGCCGTAACATGCAGGGGGAGGGCAAAAAAAGACACTTTTCTTCCTCGACTTTCAAGGCGATATAAGTTACACTTTATTAAATTCTGATTGGACATTTCCACCACCATGTTCAACAACACATTGTACACTATCACGATACTCCGCCACAGCCTTCTGGACGAGCGCCATCGAGAGATTCTGCCACGCGACCGTGATTCGGTGCCTGAGTTCAGCGAGGTCGTTGATTTCTCCGCCACTGTAGACCACCCTGTTGAGCTCCTTCCGAACCCGGTAATCGAGGTCAGGTGACACACTTAGATATTCCGTCTTCTTCAGGTACTCAACGCCCTTCCATTCCAAGTAGGCGAGAGTTTTTCCAACGCCCTTCGATTCCATGTGGTGGCACCCAATCCTGTAGCAGTACAAAGTTTCCAAGAAGGTACGGGCGAACTGACGTGGAGAGAGCAAATATTCTCCTTGAGCTGCCCTCGATATATCCCGTCGCGCGCCTCACTTTCAGTCTAGGGGGTCGCAGCGAAAGAAAATAATCGTCTTCCATTCCATCAAACTTCCGGTCATAACTCATCACATGCGCCTTGGCCGACTGCGTGTAGATGATATCCTGGACCACAGTGGGAGCTGCTAGATTGTTTGCGCAGGTGCTTCCAGACCGAAAGTGCCGGTCTGTCTATGGGTGGCTCCATACAAGAAGTTTCGCAGCTGTTTGGAGATGACGTGAATTCCATAGGCCTTTTCTAGCCCAGTTGCGATTGGAGGTGGTTCATATATTTTGGTGTACATGAATGTGATGGGTGAGAGCCTGCTCCTGCTTATCGCGGAGCAACTTGGGTATCTTTCGCCCTGGTACTCGTATCCACTTCTTCTGTCTGGGCTGCGAAAACTTTAATGATATGTGACTCGGCCGAAATGTCTTTTTGGCACTCCCCTGTAGATCTCTCGCAGCACCCCGCGAATCGCGCGTTATACAGTACCGCTAGCTATCTCCGTCCTCTCTAGATGGACAGTGATTCCCTGGACTACATTGCTTATTGTTAAGGCTGACGGGTTTTGGTTACTTTGGTAACACTTCGCGCTATGCTGTTATTACAAACAAATCCCTTCCTCAGTTTCCTTACCTTCTACATCCACATCCTCAATTGACCACAAATACTCTAGACAAGTTATTGACATGAAACGCTTCACACCCAAGCGACAGAGCCAACCGCGGCTGAGTTACGTTAACGCTCAGATTTTACCCGTTAGACATGACCATGACCTTTGTGTATACTGTTTTGTGGCGAATCTGGGTGACAAACTGGTTAAGCTTAGACACGCGAAAGCGTCTAGCCGTCCACTCCACCTACCAAGGCTTGGGCTCATGGCTAGACCCATCCGGACGAGTCATCTGCACCAGAACATAGGTGTAGGCCGACCACGCTGCGCGAGCTACTTGCACTGATCAGCAGAGTCCCGAGCGACTCTTGCAGTTCGCCAATGGCGGGCTCCGCCACCACGATTGTTTTCTGCTCGTCTGCATCTTGAAAACGAAATGGTGTACAGTGAGTTTTGATGACACTAGTGAGGATGCAAACGAACAGAAGATGGTTGTGATCTGAACATCCCCCCCCCTGTACCTTAGTATCCGAATCGCGTGCTGGATTAGTACAAGTTTTTGCCCATTCATGCCAATCACCAAAATGGTATCCTTGGCGAAAATGATCACAGTAAAACAGACATGTCCTGATCTCTAACTTGACAATACAAAGACTATACTTTGCCTCAGGCTCTGTACACTGAACAACGAGCGAGTACCAATATTTATTAAAAGCCAACAAATACAGCGCACAGGCGCATACGAGGTACAACGGTTATTAAAATTACTCGACACATATGTACAAAAAAGGGCTGATCACCTCACTACGATCAAATTCATTTCAGATATCTCAAAAGGGCCAGCCCACTACGAATCTGATGAAAGTTCCGGTTATCCTGAGACGGCCAGATTATTTAAAAATGTAACAAATTTTTGAGTATACTGCAGGAGAACTTCATCAAGAAGTTGTTCTCTACGGCAGACAAGTAACTCAGGAAACAGTCAAAAGATCAGAACCCGAGTTGTATGTATAGAAGAATAATAATTATCACAAATCAATTAAAAACCTAGCGGGTTCTATCTCTTGAATTTTGAGCAAATTACAAATGGCCTGTGGCTTCTTTGATGGTTCTTATAAGCTCGTCCCTCTCGCGTTGTCGAATCTTTCGCCGATTTGTGTCTTTCGATTTGTGCTTGCGCTTCCTGGTCTTCTGGACTTAGAAGGTGGCGCCTAAAATGTAAGTAAGGTTGAACGAAGTCTGAACCCTACGCAACATTATGGAACCAAAGCTGGAAGCTAAGGAAGGTCAGGCGCTTACTGGAAAGGTACTTACTTGCTGATGTTGTTGAGCAATGCGTTTTCCCAATCTCCACCACTTAGATGAACTTCACGGAATATTCTCAATATGTTAGGGAACGGCAAGTACATTGGTCCTTTCTGCCACCTGGGAAAATTCTTTCATTTCTTCATTGTACTTAAAACTGAAAAATGGTCCTCCGAAACAAAAAAAACAAGGTTTAGTCTAAACAAAAATTTCCTGCAAAGGCCACTGAACTTACTTCACATATTTCTTTATAGGAAGGCGTACGGCTCTCATACGTCCACGACGAGCTGCTCCAAGTGCTTCTCTAGCCGTATCCTTTGGATACACACAATGCAATCGCTCCAACGTCTAACGGACCATCAATCATGTCTCTTGCGTGTCTGAAAAACGTAAATGGAATGCGCCTTTACTGAACTAAACCTTGTACAATTTCAAGCGAAGTCCTTATAGTACCAAATGGCTTATTCGCTGATTACTTGTTACTTTCACTACCTGCAATCGTACAACAGGGCAGCTAAGTATGGTTGGAAACAGAATTATAAGTTTTTCTAGAGAATTTTTTTTCCAGAAATTCTACAGTCTCCAAAAAATTGTCGTCTAACAGAGGGAGGAGGGAGGACGCACATGAGAAGTGAGATTGAGAGAAGTCAACATTCATTGATTTAGGACATGTTGTACGTTAGGCATCCCAGTGAGGGGTCGCTAGTTAGGCCGTTACGGGTCAATATTGCCTGCAGATTGTCCTCAGTTGCGTTGAAGTATCTCGGTCTTGGTCCGTTCTTTTCCTGTTTCACGAGCGTTACACTCAAATCCGTTACACTCAAGGTCGTCAATACCTCAGTAAATGTTAAAGTGCAGGTCTATGCGGACGATGTTAAGTTGTATGGTATCTATGATGACAGAAACCGTGATGATGTTTGTGCAAGCTCTTAAGCATCTGTTGAATCAAGCGTGCAACCTGGCGGCCCGAGTCCTTGATTGGCCAGTGAAACTAAATAAGTGCTCCATATCAGGTGCGCGGACCGCCAGGCCATATGAAGTGAACTGGGGTCCCCTTGAAACGTGTGTGAGACTGTTTGACTGGATTTGGGTGCTGATCATTGACTCCATTCTCAAGTTTTCTGTTCTTGATCCTTATGCTTCGCTCTACAGTATTTTCCGGAATTTCCGAAGTAGTAGAACTGATATTCTATTAAGGACTTACAGAGCCTACGTACTGCAGCTTTGGAATAGAGCTCGCAGGTGTGGAGCCCACTACGTAAGAAAGACATTCTAAAAACCGAAAAAGTGCAGCATTTAACCACCAGGTTAATTTTTCTCCGAGGGAATAGAGGTGTCCATAGGAGAAGCATTCCGAGCTATGATGAACGAATGAAACGTTTCGGTTTTAGACCCGAGTCGGTGTTGGTTCTTCGGACCCAGGTGTGAGAGGGATGGATTCAGTTTGCACTCACCCAACATTCAAAGTAGGACCTCGTCCTTCATTTAACTTTTTCCTCTGTCGGAGCTTGCAACGGGTTCAGCGCCTTCCTAGCAGTATTATGAAGTCGGAAAACAGTCGAATTTCCAAGGCTAAGCTCGGAGATATTGATTTGCTGCGTGTATTAGGAATGGACGTTCATCGATGAAATACCGTTATTTCAAGACAGTTTGTGTGTGGTGCTTTTTAGTGTTCTCAATAAGGACTTTTGGTTGTGAGGAGAGGGAACTCCCGTGTGCTTTTTTGTGATGATGGTGCGGCATGCTGTGCTTCTGCAGTGGTATGGTTTCCTAGCTAATGCAGTGACCTCGAGTTCAACAGTGGCATCTACTTCTGGACCTCAATTTATTTTCTTCCACCCTCTGTCTGGCCTTGACCCCCGTTCTGTTCGTACTTGTGTTGAAATTTTGTGCTTTCGGTGGAACACTTTCAGCTTGGCTTCCAGTGAGCACTTGGATTTTTGCTGGTTTGTACGACTATGTCTATTGTTCTTCTTCGTGTTATGCTTGCGGTTTTTTTTTCTCTTCGGTCTATCAGTGTTAGAATATTTACGAAAGCAACTAGCCACGGGTCTCCCTATGCTTCTGTCGTTATGTTTTGTGAGTTGCTCGTTGAACAGCGGCACTAGATGCTTTGCTTAATGTGTCTTTTGTTAGATGGAAGTTGACCTGTTCTCCGAACTGATTCTCACTTCCAACGGACTGATCCGCCTTGGACAGAGCTGCCTTGGTTTTCTACATTCACTCCAGCTTGCTGATTCCACGTGGGCAGCCGGTATACCCGTGTTTCGGGGTCTCAGCAAGTGCCTATGACCCCACTGTTGGAGAAGTACATCTTAGCCGGCTGATGCGGGTCTTTGTAGAAGACTAAGCTCGGCT